GGGGGGGGCAGAGGAAAAGAGGAGAAAGAGGAAGACGGCGAGAGATACAGATATAGAGAGACAGAGAGGGGTAGACAGACAGGTAGAGATAGAGAGATAGAGATAATGATCGAGAAGTGGAAGTTGGAGTCGGGACAGACGACGAAGATGAGGTGGACGCGGCTCACGTGGGGCCTGACTCAGCCTGCTCGGCTGGACAGGGTCGAACCACGCCTGGACAACGGGACAAGAGCCGGGAGATGGAAGATGTCATAGATTCGAGCGAGGTGAAAGAGCTGAGAGCGGAGCGGGGGAGAACAGACAGAGTGTCCATGGAGAGTTTGCGGGTTGAAAAAAAAAAAAAAAAAAAAAAAACAAAAAAACAAAAAGACAAAAAAACCTCTAGTTGGACTACTGGTATTATTGTCTGATATATATATATGTATGTATGTATATGTATGTATATGTATACTGGCATTCCCTCTCCGGCTCGAGGGATTCTCTTTTTAGCATCAAGGCTTTTTTTTTTTTTTTTAATTCCGCCTGCTCATCACCCTAGCTACACTGCTGCTGAAGTTAATCAGCAGCTTCTGGTTTCTCCGGTCACTGACTAGTTAAGCAAATCCTCTCTGACGAACCTCCTGTCAGTCTTGCACTATCCCATTCCGTCCCTCAGCTCTCTCTATCCATGGATCCCGGATGGGCAAAAGTGAAGGCGTGCGGAGAGAGTAAGTTTACCCCTCCGTCAATTGGCTGGAATAAAGTCCTCACAATTTCACAGCTGCTGAGGTAACTTCCCCCCCCTTCCCCTCCCCCAGTGTCTGGTTGGCTGGTTTGACTTTTGGCTGCTCGGTTAGTTAATTAGCTAGCTAGTTAGTAAGTTACCTCATCAACGTCATCATCACCATCACTTATCATCATCAGCCACCAATGAGGAACCGCAATTTTCATTTCTCAGCATCTGGCTTCTCCTATCATCTGCCGTGCTCCTAAGTTTCACAAGTTTTGCCTAGAAAACATGTCCAACCACCACTTAAAATAAAAGCCGTCATCGTCTCCCACTTATGCTTCCCACCTCTCATCACCCATCCCACTTGGCCCTGGCTAGCTGGTGTAGTTTTGGTGTAGCTTGCAGAGTTAGCTTAGGTCCCCCTTCCCCTGCACAGCCCCCTTCCTATCTCCATCCCCGCCAGACGCTGAAGCATCGCAACAGCGAGAAAAATCCCTAGCAACCCGGCTGTCCGAACACCCATCATTGAATTCTGACATAATTCGCAAGTGTTGTTGTGGAAAGTTTTCGCAGAGCCAAAAAAGCAAAAGGCAAAAAAGCTCAAGTCCCAAACAAAAAGGTTAACCAGAAGGGACAATCCCCAGAAATCATAATGAGAGAGCCTTGTTTTATCTATACCCCATAATAATAATAATAATAATAATAAAAAAAACCTTCTCTTGCGTCGTCCTTCCTCCAAACAACCCGCCAAATAACCAACAGTCCCTTGGGCCTTTGGGTGGTTAGGAGGTTTCTTTGGTTAGAATCTGGAGGCATTTTTACCCATTCAGTCAGTCCCCAAAACATCCGGCTCCTCATCCCGCTTATTCATCCCGCTAGGTAAATTAAATATAATTAACAAGGGGTCTAAAACGCCCCCCCGTCCCTAATGGTTTGCCTGGAACCTGAATGCTTTGTTTGGACTGAAGTGAAACTACCCCGAACTGTAAAAAAAAATATACATATATATAAAAAAAAAATATAAACAAAAACCTGCCAGGGTAGCTGGTGGATATCCGCCCGTTATTGGACAGGACTCACCCTTGCTCCTTGGCAAGTTCCACCGCACCCGTAAACCCCGCGTATCAGGGCTTCTTCTTGGACAGGAAAACTCTCCTGTTTACCGGGCAGCTTATGGGCAAGGAAAAAGGCTCCATCCCCGTGCAAACAAATCCCAGTCCCCAACCAAACTGCTCCCCCCCCGGGTCTCTGACTTTAATCACGGGTCCCCCCCTGGGGGATCTTATCTGAGCAACCCCCCGCCCATGTCACTGGCTACGCGTAAAACAACCACAAGAGGGCAAGTCAAGAGGGTTCCGGCATGACAAACGCCCAACATGTGATAGAGCAGCCAAGGATATTGGGATTAGGGATCACCAAACCCACCTGCAAGTTACCTGGGTACACTAACTGAAAGGCTACCCTGTTTGGGGTGTGGGGCGGACTGTATCCGTGCATGCGAGGGAGTTGAGATGGGAAGGTGATGGTTTTGAGTGACGCGGAGACAGCTCTGGGGCGAGGGGGCTCGATGGGCGGGAAAGACTGGATATGCCTTGCGTGGCTCGGGGAACTGAACTGAGATGGTATGAGTGGGGAATCGGGGGCCGGTTGAAGGTGAACGGGGGAAGGAGATTGTGGGGTGGTTGTTTTGAAGGGGGGAAGTGGTGGTTGATATCTATTGGGCTTTGGTTCTCTGGTGGGAAAAGTCTTGCGTGTGTTTTGGCTTTTGGGCGGAAGATAGGTGGTTGTTTTTTACCTTCTGGAAGTATCTCTTTGTAAATAATGATGGGTTTGAGGTGAAGGACCTGACGGGATGCAGGTATGTAGATGGTTGTTGAAGAATTAAGAATCGGAGAATTAAATGCTTGTCTGGTGGCTATGTATGTATGTATGTGTGTATGGATGTTTGTTTGTATGTACAGTAAATGAAGATTAGATAGGAAGCGGGCAATAACAATAATCACCATGATCGATCTAATGGGAATCGAAATGTCACTTTAACAGAACCAGTATCACAATCCCTAGAGTCGAAATCCAAACACCATTCGAAAATTGCTTCGAAAAATGCTCCATTCCCTCCTCTTCCAAAACTGCGGAACAAATCTCTCAAAAAGTCCCCCGCATGGAATTGTCACCAGCAACATCCTTCCATCCTCCACCCTCACCCTCACCCTCACCCTCCCCAAAAGCGGACGGAAAACCAGGACGAATATATATATATATATATGACAACGAAACACACCTACAATCGCAGGGGATAAACTTATAATTGTCCATAAGCTCAACCCTTTAATCACTCAGCAGCCATCCTAATATCGTCTTTGAACCCGTTGAACAACATCATGCATCCCCTCAACATCCATCTTCCCTACTTCTTCGTCATCATAATATCTCTCCTCCCTCACAGACCTCGCAACACCAGCAGGAGCACCAGCAGGAGCACCAGCAGGACCATACCCTCCCCGCTCAACAGGCGCATAATCTCTCCTCCCCCGCGGCTGCTCATCATCCACATACACACTAATCTCCCTCCCGCCAGGCCTGACACTCTGCATGCGCGACATCGGCTGGCGGACCGCCGGATGCCTCTCCTCATACCTTGACGGCGGAGGCCGTACACTTGCCATCCTCACCACTTCATCCCGAGGAACCAACGGCTCCTCGACATATGTCGCGTGGCGCGCGGGTGGAGGTTGGTTTACGTAATCGACAACCCCGCGCTCGTCGCCATCATAGCCGTACACGGTTCGCTCGTGGAGGAATTCACGTCTGAATTCTTCTGGTGCACGGCGGTAGGTGAGAGGGGGAGGCGGGGGCATTTCTTGTGCATATCGTCTATCGTGGTATGGGTCTTCGATTATGGAGGCGGCGCGGACGCTGCCGTTTGCTAGGCGGGGTGGGCCTTCGGGGTACGGGTCCATCCGGGATAGGCGGGCTGATGGTGGGGGGAGTGGTTGGAGAGGTTGGAGTCTTGGAGTCTGTGTTGCTATCTGTTCGACGTAGCGGTTTCCGTCTGCGTCGACGACCACGCGACGTTGTTGTGGTAGGGGGGCCATGATGCGTGGCTCGGGTTCTAGTTCTGGATAGGGATTGCGGAATCTAGGGGAGGGTGGTGACATACCCCCGGAGACATAGTGTCTGCTGTAAGGTTGAGCAGGCTCTTCATAGTATCTAGCTCTCTCTGTGTGGACTGGGCGATCGGTGACGGCGTAGGAAGTACCCCGAACATATCTTGGTTGGTAGTCAATAGGCGGTGGCTCCGGATAATCTTGGATATACTCAGGCTGTCTAGCATTATGCAAACTTGCAACGCGCCGCAGATCCAGATCATCGCGGGGAGGTTTCCTGTAAGTAACTCTGGAGGTGGACCGGGGGACACCCAGGTCAATAGGATTGCCTATATCATAGCCTCTATTTGGGTGTTCGTCAAATACTCTTCTTTGTCCACTATCCCGTCGATGGCCAACGGGTGAATATTGAGGAGACGAAATATCAACAAATGCAGGCCTTTCGTGGTGTAGTCGAGGCTTTGACTCTCCAGCAAGTGGTAAATCAGAGAACGGGGGTGGAGAAATCGGCTCAGGTTTGATATAAGGGTGATCAGGGGAATCTGCTTCCCTTCTTTCATTGGCAA